ATAGGGGTTCCTTAATTACATTTTCAAAACACTTTCTTAAGAAAACATAATGTAAGATGTAATGCTAGATGAAAATAGCAGGAAAAATTCCATATACATACACAACATATATATAATACATATTACATGTATAATTCTATATATAGTACTCAACTATGTAACACACAAAGGAAAATATTACTTTCATAATAAAAAATAATAAATCCTTCCTGCCTGGCTGGCATGGCTCAGTGGTTGAGCATCATCCTATGAACCAGGAGGTCACGATTCAATTCTGGCCAGGGCATATGCCCCGTTTTCGGGCTAAATCCCCAGTGGGGGTTTGCAGGAGGCAGCCAATCAATGATTCTCTCTCATCATTGATGTTTCTAACTCTCTCTCACTCTCTCTTCCTCTCTGAAATCAATAAGAATATATTTTTAAAAAATACTCCTTCCTACCATAGCACTTTAATATAGGATGTCATCCTTTTGAGGCATCAACCACCCCCTCACTATCTAGATGGTCCCTGTGACATTTAGTTGCATTCATTTGTCACACAATTATTTCACATAACAACTAGATTGTGATAAAACATTATAGCACATTAATTCCCTAGTGAGACAAGTTAGAATATAGTGTACCCTGATATTTTGCCATATTTTCCTCTTTTTATTGTAACTTTCATTTTTTATTTTTTAAAATTTTATTGAATTGATTGGGGTGACATTGGTTAATAAAATTATATAGGTTTCAGGAGATCAATTCTATGATACATCATATTGGATTGCGTGTTCACTATCCAAAGTCAAGTCTCCTTCCATCACCCTTTATCCCCCCTTTACCCTCTTCTACCTCTATCCATGCCCCTTTCCCTCTGGTAATCACCATGATGTTGTCTGTGTCTGTGAGTATGGCTTTTTTTCTTCTTAATCCCTTGACCTTTATGACCCAGCTCCCCAACCCTCATCCCCTCTGATAGCTGTCAGTCTGTTTTCTGTATCTACGAGTCTGTTTCTATTTTGTTTGTTTTGTTCATTAGATTCCACATATAAGTGAAATCAGATGGTATTTGTCTGTCTCTGACTGGTTTATTTTACTTAGCATAATACTCTCCAGATCCACCCAGGCTGTTACAAGGGCTAAGATTTTCTTCTTTTTTATGACTGAGTAATAATCCATGGTGTAAATATATCACAGCTTTTAGATCCACTCATTTACTGATGGGCACTTGGGCTGCTTCCAAGTCTTGGCTATCCTATATAATAAAGAGCTAATATGCTAATTAGACCAAACAGCCAAACAACCTTCTGGATGACCTTCCAGATGAAGCCGGGGCTGCGAGGGCTGGCCTGGCTGTGAGGGGCTGTGAGGGCCGGCCGAGGCTGTGAGGGGCTGCAAGGACTGAGCCCCTTGCATGAATTTTGTGCATCGGGCCTCTAGTTGTAACTAATGCTGCAATGAACACAGAGATGCATATATTCTTTCAAATCAGTGTTTCAGTTTTCATTGGATATAGTAACAGAAGTGGAATTACTAGGTTATAACTTTCTTTTAACATCACCAAATCTGGTGCTTTATCAAAATGATTGACTCCTAAATTGGAAGACTGTTTGATGGTTAGGCTCCATATCTTTGAGTTAGAGTTTTGATTGAGATTTATAAGAGCTTGTGAGTGGCATTATCTCCATCAGCCTTCCATAACACACATATCAGGTACAAGGTTTCTCATTCCTGAAGTTGTAGTTCAGAAACAAAGACAAAAGTGAAAGAAAAACTTTGCGCTCTTGAAGGTAAGTGTAAAATGTCTTAATAATTTTCTATGCACTCTCTATTCATTACTAAATTTTATTGTTCCTATCTTGACATATACCTTTAAAATAGTTGTCTTTCTGACAAAGCAAAGGAAATGAGCTATTCAAAGTAGAGGGCTAATAAAGCTAGCATTAATTTAATAAGAATTTCACAATATTGCCATGGTTGATTTGTAAGCTCCATGCCTACTTTTGTTGTTTTTAACTCTCATGAGAGTATATTTACACTTTCAGGAGTACAGATGAAGTGATGGAATTGTTAACTGGAGGGAAAAATGTAACAAAAGGGTGCAATGCATACATCTGCCTAATGAGTGATATAATAGCTAGGGTGTTTTTAGAATTGAGTTATTTTCTAAGTCTTTGACCATACATGACTGTTCAGGGCTGTGCCTTCTTCCCCTTAGAGGGGATGGGTGTAAGGGGAGGGGGCATGGTGGTGAGAGAAGGAAGACAGAGAAGTGGAAAACACCCATGGGGATTTGCTGTGTTAGTTCAACAGGAGGTGAGAATTCTGTAACTTTCTCAAAGTTGACTTTTAAAACACTGATAATACAATGGAGCCACTGTTATACAATACTAGAGGCCTGGTGCATGAAAATTCTTGCACTCAGGGGGGGTCCCTCAGCCCGGCCTGTGCCCTCTTGCAGTCTGGGACCCCTTGGAGGATGTCACCTGCCGGCTTAGGCCCGCCCAGGCTTAAACCGCAGTTGGACATCCTTAGTGCTGCCGAGGAGGTGGGTGAGGCTCCTGCCACGTCCACTGCACTCACAGCTGTCAGCCCAGCCTGTGGCTGAGTGGAGCTCCCCCTGTGGGAGCAAACTGACCACCAGGGGGCAGCTCCTGCATTGAGCGTCTGCCTCCTGGTGGTCAGTGCATGTCATAGCGACTGGTCATTCCTGATCATTCTGCTGTTAGGGTCAATTTGCATATTACCCTTTTATTATATAGGACTAGAGGCCTGGTACACGAAATTCGTGCATGGAGGGGGGGGTGTCCCTCAGCCCAGCCTACAACCTCTCCAATCCGGGACTCCTTGGGTGATGTCTGACTGCCAGTTTAGGCTGTGGGCCTAAACCGGCAGTCGGACATACCTCTCACAATCCAGGACCACTGGCTCATAACCACTCGCCTGCCTGCCTAATGCCCCCAACTGCCCTCCCCTGCCGGCCTGGTCACCCCCAACTGCCCTCCCCTGCAAGCCTGGTTGCCCCCAACTGCCCTCGCCTGCTGGTCTGATCTTGCCCCTAACTGCTCTCCCCTGCCGGCCTGATCACCTCTAACTGCCTCTTCCTTGGCCCCCACCACCATGGCTTTGTCTGGAAGGAAGTCGGATGCCCAGAAGATGGCCAGTTGACCCAGTCTAATTAGCATATTACCCTTTTATTAGTATAGATTGGTGATAGAGGTAAAATTTACATTAATAATCTAGATTTTATGTGCATTTTAATGAGAGAGATACTTGAGGTCATTATTTGAACTAATTGAGGTCAT